CAGTCTCCGCTTGACTTCCATACATTTCTCGATTTCTGTTGGTAAATCCTTTCAACGAGAATCAAAGACTTTGTTTTAAGACTCTTTCTTCTTCTCATGGCTTTCTCTCATCATAAAAGGAGTTTATTTTCTACGATTGAGTTTATTGAATTTCAAGAAGATGAAATTACAAACTTTCGTAGAATTCATCCTAGATACCAGTTAAATTGTTTAGGTGAATTTTGTGATGAATATGGATTTGAAAGGGTTGAATGTACAAGAAAGAAAGAGATTCATTTACAAGATCATCAAGGAAATCCAAACCAGACAGAATTTAATCAAAACTCTCATTGGACTTGTTTTGCTCTTTATACAAATTTGGATGATTTAGAAGAAAAGGTTTTACTTGAGGATGATCAGGTTCAGTTTGATTGTGAAGGTTGGAGACATGATGATGATCCTTACATACTTCAAGGTGATTGTTCATTTTTGTTCATTCATCCTGCATTCTTTGTTGAAATCCACTTATTGATGTCTTTTTTCTTGCTTAGGATCCTGTTCTTTGAATTATACTTTTGCTTCTGATAAAGCTATACAAAAACAAACTTTACAAAACCAAACAACAATTCTAACAACTCAAGATTTAACAAATGGTTTGTAAAGTCCTTCAAATTCCAATCCATTAGCATAGGATTTCTGAAATTCTAGATACTGAGAAATACTTTTCTTTTAGATCAAAAATCATTTTGGTTATTCACAACTTTATCAGCCTTTTTCTTCGTTTTCTTCATATGCAAACTCTCCAAAACCAAAATCAAAATTGCCATCAATTCAATTTGGTTTGTCATCCTTATTGTAATTGAACATTATCAAAATAGGATTAAGAACACAATCAATTCTATCAAAACCTTTTTCTTGGAAGGTTTCTTTGGTCAACTTCTGGTGTTTTTGAATCTTAAGAAGGAAAAATTGAGTTGAAATCTAAAAACATGTTGATTGATGTAAATATTTCTTGATATTTTGGATTTTTTTGTCTTTCTTCTTTGAATTTAAATATTGAAGGACATTCATGGACACCTTTTTTTGATTTGTTTTTGTAAAACTTTCTCAAATGTTATTTATTTTTCTTTTATTCACTTTAGATTTTGTGTTGTATGATCCTCAATCAAAACCAAACTTCAGTTGTATGTAACCTGGAATTCTCAATCAAATATGAATTGTCACCCATGACATGCTGGTTTTTTAAAGTGTACTGATCCTGGAGTGTTGAAGAAATAAAAAGATCAAGGGAACCTGAAATAAAGAATTGAGACAAAGGGGTATAAGTAGTAGATGTAGACATCTACTTACCAGGTTTTTCCAAAAATAGTTGCCAAACCAAAAGATCTATGGCATTTCTATAACATGACCCAAAAAAATGTACGGCTCATTCAATTTCAGGTGGACCTTGTTTAGTAGCCTTGGAATATTAAAGTACATTGTCAGTGTCTCATGGGTATGAATTGTATTTCTTTTGTGTCTTGATTTCTTCTATGTCTGCTACAGTGTAAGGGTATATCTCACAGTTAGTCATCATTAGTTATGGGTTATGGGTTTAGTCATTCAAAGTTTAGTCATCTAGTTGACATGGCCCCCAAGTTACATTTCTCCTTAAGGAGATTCTCCTATTGGGAGCCAGGTAAGCACATCATCTTATAATTCATTTCTTTTACTCTTGTTTTGTGGATTCTTTGTTAGTTGGTAGCTCATTAGGAAGAGATTCTCCTACTGGGAGCCAGCTGTTTGGAAATATAGAGATGTTTTAATGGTGATTCTGAGCTTTTGAGATGCACCAATATCCTTAGTGAAGGTTCTCTCATTGGAACCTTACAATCTTTTCACCAATACCCTCAAAACAATAACCTTTTTTTCTTTTTCATAGTCTCAACCTTGAATTTCCAAAAAATTGCTGTACACCCTGTTCCGATTGAATCCTATTAGACTCAACCTGTCAATCCTGCCATGCTGTTTTCTTGTTCTGCTCTTGAATGTCAGATTGGCATAATCTCCCCAAGAACTACTCTGACAATCCAATTGAAAGCTTTCCTACACCAATCTTGTTTAAATCAACAAACCAATCAGCCAACAACTAGTCATCACTGCTGCCAGCTCCACGTTATAACTGGAAGCCGGAAGCTCCGGAGACGCCAGTATCAGAATACCGCGAACTATCATCCAGAAAAGCTATTGTTACCCTGCCATCAACCAGTGATCAGCCTGTACCGCAAACTCCATGTCTACCATCTTCAATTCCTGTTAACGTCTCAAGAACCAGCTATAAGGAGATTGTTCAACAATCTCTCAATTGTCTGCAAGGAAGATACACCAAGGAAACCAGTGGACTTACACACTACTCCGCAAACACCAGGAGCTTTTGTTTTTACTCCAAAGCCAAGAGAACCACAACCAATGGCAGAGCCGTCATAACCAGCTGCAAACACAGCCCCCAATCACAGGTCACTGGCAGGCCAGTGCATCCCAGAAACCTGAGAATATTTTGAATCTGTTTTGAATTGGATATCAAATGGATATCACCCACAAATTGAGAAGTTATTTAGATAATACCAAATTGAGATGATGTCATACAGCTTCATAAATCTGTACACAACTGCTCCTGTTTTTCCCCACCATGAATATATGGTCTATTAACCTTTATAATGTAAATTGAATGAGTTATTGAGGTTTGAAAAAAAAAAACAGAGAAAAAATACTATTTTTGTACTATATGTGAGACTCAAATCTCAAATCTCATCTAGCTTGATCAATATACATACAAATCAAATTGCATATTCCCCTCTGCCATATGTTTCTCCATATTTTTGTCCAATGCAGTCTTCCGCTATGGGCAGTATTTCTATATGCAATTGCTGGTTGTATACAGAGGTTTGATTCTCTGAAGTTCTTTGCTGTTAAGGAAAATTGTGAGAAAATGAATGGCATTTTTTTTCTCAAATTCATTGATGTGCATGTAAATGGTATTCTCCAAAAACTTGTGCTATGTATTTCATCATATACTTCCGGAATCCCCAAATCAAAACATGCCTGCTCGGGTACAATCTGCAATGACATGTGGAAACATGTCTTGTACAGGATGGCTGTAGGAGACAAAAATGTGGAGAATCATGTTGCAGAAAAGAATATTCAATTAAGATTATATGTATATTGATAGAGTTTTGAAACTACCCTGATTTTAGTCCTGAGTATAGTACAAAAATAGTATTTTTTATCCGTTATTTTTTTCAAACCTCAATAACTCAGTCAATTTACATCACAAAGGTTAATAGATTATATGTTCTTGGCGGGGAAACACAGGAGCAGTTTTGCACAGATTTATGCTGCTGTATGACATCATCTCAATTTTGGTGGTATGAAATATTTTGTCAGTAACTGACCCATAACATCTTGAAAGCAAACATATGTTATTTTGAAGACAGATTGAAATTATGTTGAAAACATTTTGAAGACATGAGGCGCACTGGCCTGCCAGTGAACAGTAGATGAGTCCTTACACCAACAACTTCAGGAGGCTCAGGAGCGCAATGAAATCCTTGCAAGACATTGCAATCAAATTGAAGCTCTGAAGTATTTGGTTCATGAATTAGCTCAAGAACACCAGATGGCACAAGCACAAGCGGGTAACACTAGTTTTCAATCAAGCAATTCAAACAATCTGTTCTTAAATTATTTGGATCAAGGTCAAACCTTGCCATCTCTGATTGTTGACCTAGTAGTCTTGGTTTTGGTTGATCAAAACTTACCACCCGTGATTAACTTTGTTTTGCAACCCACTTTGAATCTTACACTGTCACCACCAGTTTATCATTCAGAATCACTAGAGCAAAGCCTACCAATGACTCAGACAGCTAAGCCTATGCCATGGAGTTAAACATGGGCTCAGTCAACTCCTGCTGTACGCTGGGTTCCGCTGGTAACTGCACAGGTAGAACTACCAGCTTTATCTCCAAAGTTGCGAGCCCTGCCACCTCCATGATCAGCGGTAATCACAACTACTCAGGATCAGCCAGATGACCCATCCGATAGTCATAGCAATGACTCTAGTTCAATGGTGTCTGTGAGTAAGATCAGGTTAGTAGAGGTACCAAAGTTCAAAGGTCCTTATGGCAAGCCAAACAAGCTTTTTTGCTGGCAGTGGTTGGTAGAGCAGTACTTTGATGTCAAAGATCTGAATAATGACAAGGAAAGGTTGAAGCTTTTAGGATCTTTATTAATTGATCAACAGGCATTGGCATGGTTTCAATCTTCTAAACCTGATCTAGGAGGCAAATCATGGTCTGAAGTCATGGATTTGTTTGCCATTGGAACCTTGCCCAAATATTGGGTTGCCAAAGTCAAAAAACAATTGAGCAAGTTACAACTTAAACAAGGGGAACCTTCTGAATCTTTCATTAAACATGCTCAAGGCCTTCATCAGACAATTACCAGATGTTCACAGAACATTCAAAAAGAACTTGCACAATACATCTTGAAGATATTACGACTGGTCTACATCTCACACTATATGTACTGGTAGCAAGAGTCTGGTTGGTTTGTGGTTGAGCTAGCAGACCTAACCTTGACACCCCTTTGACCTGACAATTCTCCTCTTGTCTTTTGTCACTGGACACTCTTAATCCTGGAGACAGAGGGCCTAGCTGCTGTGTGTGAGCTCTTCCTCATGTTCATATCATGAGTTAAACCCTAACGATGAGTGGGAAATCAATACTTGTTCCACCCCTGACAATTTTATGCCAGTTTTCTTCCTGTTTTGCATTCATTTGGGATCCTATTAAATTACACTGGTGGGTTTTGAAAACGAGACTCCTTTTTTGAATCCTTTCAAAAATATCAGGACTTGGCGTGTCCATTCTCACTTTTCAAAGAGGAGTCCTTTGCAACAAAAGTATTAACAAAGTTTTCATTTTTCTTTCTCAAAAATCTATGATCTTCTTTTAATATCCAATCTTCCATTCAAACCTTCTTAATCCAGCCGCCAAACAAAACAAAGTCATCATCCATCCAGAAATAGCCAATGGTTTTTGAAAACTTTTATAAGCTGGTCTTGAATACGAAATCTAATAAATGAAGCAATATGGAACACGTCAGTCACCAAGTCAAAGACTGGGGTCGGATAGAAACCAAAAGGCAATGATGATTCACATAAATGTCACCACTGTGAGCATCTGTGCAGAGTGCTTTCTTGATCAAGACTGTCGGGCGACCGGTCGTGTCGAGGTAAGTTTTGTCAATTAGATCAACTTGAGTTTCGAGCGTCGGGAAAGGTGAAAAGGCTTTGACGTTACTGTAATCATGAAAAGAAACAAGGGTTGTTTCATATGGATGAGTCGGCATAAAAATGGTCAAAGAGGAGACTGAATTCTCAAGACTCACGTAGCTCCTTCAGGAAGTCTTACTCTCAATGTAGCCAGATCAACTGGTACATCATAGATCCTAGTAAAGAAAGGCACTTTCAAGACGTAATCTCCGGCAGCACTCTGTTTCAGAACTCTTCCGGCTTCCAAATTATAACCAATTACAAATGAATAATTCCATCCACCCGCGATTGGATAACGAGGTACAAGTTCTAACTTGCTGAATTTAGCTTCTTTCTTTTTCAATTTCGATTCCTTTCCATTGGGTGAAATAGGGGGAGAAAGCGAAGGACGAAATCGGGAGGTAGAGACATTTCCAATGGTGTCAATGTAATAAGGATCCATCACTCCACGTGGGAGGTCAAGGGCGAGACCGGTGAGGATGTGGGCAGTAGCACCAGGGGCACGAGTGTGGAGGGCTGTTTGATGAACGACCCGCGAGAATGAGCCCTTTAGTCTACGAAACAAAGCGCAAGTTTTCAATGGTGGACGACACAGTCAAGTAACACAGTGGTACCTTTCAACTTACGCTGGCCCACGGTTCTCAAGAGAGATTTGATCTTCAATTGCGACATTGTTACCCCAATGGCTCACTTCGACTAATCGTGTCCAATTACCAATGGACATTACCGGATGAGGCTGATGATAATGTACAAGTCCACTTTGAGGCTTTGAGGCAAGCTCAGTTGAGGCAGCGGAGCTGGTGAAGATGACTCCGTTGTTTGTGCTTTCAACTTTGAACCCAGAAGGGCTTGTGTTTGAAAACACTCGCGAAGTAGGCGTGCTATTGAATGTGTTATTTGTGAAGCGTGAGGACAAGAAATTCAATCTAAATATCAATTTATGTTCGTATCATATCAAGAAAAGGAAAAACCTTACATGACTTTTACTGTCACTTCCAAGGTATCGCCCAGAGCGTGAGGCATTGATCCAAAGCCTCCCAAAAGGTCACCCTCCCAAACCATACCTTGTTTCAGACCATCTTGTTGACTCAGTCGGCTTGGCTTAGGTACTGTAAGATGTAAATATTGGTAATTGATGGTAAGAATGAATGCTTCGTTGGTTTTTGGCGGATTGATTTCATAATAATGTACACCACTAAATTCGTGATCGATGTCAGCCAACGAGAAAGCATTCAAGGTATGGAAACAAAAGACCTCTGACAAGAACTTACGCCTCTAGATCCTGCCCTTTTACTTTAACCTCCAGTATCTTTTTATTCGGTCCCTCGGTTTGTTTACCTTGACCTAAGATCACTGACATTTCGCTAAGTGAACTTGATCGAGCGTCTTCAATAGGTAAAATACAAGCTCCGGATTGAGAGTTTGAGCGTTTGAGATGAAGAATAGCTTGTTCACGAGTAATACTTCCTCCAACATTTATCTTTCTTGAATATTTTTCCACTTGACATGCTGTTTGTGCTGATTTAGGAAGTTGAAAAGTAATCTGCTCGGTATGAACTGGACCTGAATAGAGCGTAAGTCCAGCAAAGATGGACACCCATAATGTTTTATACATCTATGGCCCGAATCCAATATATAAGAAGTTGAATGAACAAGTTGAGGATATAAGAGAATGTCGAAGGGTAAGGAAGACCAGAAAGTTTGATTTGAGTGGTCGTCGTGGAATGACAACCATCATGACATGTCATCTACTTACCGATCTGTAACAGCTCGATCACTTTACACATACTAGGACTGTTACCCGGCCTCGAGTGTGACAGGGAGGCACCGGGACAATATCCGGCGCTGGGTACACCCGAGTGGATCCAGAAATCAATCAGGGCCAACCAGGGCTCACCCTGACTAGATTATAAGAGTTAAAAAGGACCATAGGGGATTTCTGGTGTTTATTGCACATTTACGTGTATGAAAATGTATATAACAATTACAGCCGTTCCAACAATTAACAGTAGAATTCTTCATTGGTGTGTTGCATCCAAATTTAATCCGAAAGTCAAAAACTAGTTAAAGCCAGCTCAAAGTGACAGGCCTCCCAGGCCTCCCTATTCATTTGTGTAAAAAACTGGGTTTAATCTAGTTTTGACTTCTCTAGATTTAACCTCGAGAGCAACACACAATCAAAGAATTCTGCTGTTAATTGTTGGAATGGCTGTATGTGAGCCTAAGAGCTTGAAAAGAACCATGTGAGCCTACTTGGAAGGAATTTTTCTTTATTATTCAAAACAAAATGACGGGCAACTGGTCACATCAGGCATTATAAGAGCATCAGCAGCAGAGCGCGTATTTTGCAAGCTCCCAAACAGACCCCCAAAAGCAATTCTCAAATTCAGTGGGTCCAAAAAAGTGCATGTGTACAGTGGAGCTCTCAAGTTGCAAAAAAACCCTTGATTGATGTCTTTTTATATGCTTATATTGTAGAATGATCTGTACATAGCTGTTCATTTGGGCTGGTATGATGTGTATTGGGCTGTATTTGGGAGATTGAGAGTCTTGATTGACCTCCCAAATTTGACTCTTGACAAAAATATAGAGACTCTTGACATCCCACCTTGCATTTTGTGAGGTCTGCTGCAGTGATTGTTGACAATTTTGCCGCCTGTATTGTTGAGAGCCTGCCTTCTATGGGCTCCGCTTCTGATGCTCTTATAACTCTTTATTAGGTAGGTTTTGGTGTGTCAGGGCTTGTACTGTCTGATTCCAGAAAGGCAACGGGCACAGTCGGCCGGGCCACGCCAGGGCCGGGTCACAGCCCTAACTCATACTCATAGCATCTATTTCTAACTTAGCTAAGTCCCTCTTGGACAAACAAGTAGTTGAGAGAGGGACTTATACCTTACACCACAACTTTGGTGTATAAGCCAAAAACATTTGGCTGGGGACTTTTTCAACACTCCATATCTGCATATCCTGCAGACAAATGTCCTTGAGACCAAAGAGAAGAGCTATGCACTTGCTTAATCTACACTGTGTAGCCTACATCTAATTTGATTCACAACTAACAGAGCAATGCAATTGTGAAGTTTGCAAAGATCACCAAAATTGGGCAGAAAGCTGACCAACCTGTCAAAAGCTCACACCAAACAAGCTGAAATGTTACACAAAAACCAATTCTTAAAGTTGGTTTTTAAGGGCTTTCCAAGGAACAGATTTGAAAAGATATGCATGTGTAGGATAACCAGGCACAGAGGACTTTTCTTTGGTCCAGAGGATATTTGTATGCAGGCTACAGAGATATGGAGGATTGAAAGGGTGCCCAGCCAAATATAAGGTATAAGTCCCTCTCTTGACTACTTGTTTGTCCAAGAGGGACTTAGTTAAGTTAGCATCTATTTACACATACATAGCAACCCAAAATTAGGTTGTGGGCGCGCTGAGGTGTGTTGTTTTGCATTTTCCCGCGTGTAGGCGCCACTTGACCCGCCTGGCACGGTCTTTTAGGAAAAAACTGCAGTGAGTTGAAATGCTGCTTTCTCATCAAAGTTTGTCTATATTTGTATGGCTGGAGGTATTTACCACAGCATCTTTACATGCAAAGGGAAGATAGATTAAAAATAGTTGTCATCAAAGTCTTACTACTGTTATTGACAACTCCAATATTGGTGATTGGACATAGAACTCCTGAGATTTGGCGTGATTTTCAAAAAGGTCTGCCAACCCCATTTTTCCAATCTCTTCAAGGCGTGTTTTTTGTTGTAGATGCTTTCATCTGAAGATTGACTGTTTTTAGACAAAAGGAAAGATTGGTTTTTGATGAAAATTTTAGTCCATGGGGCAGCAAAGAAACAGGAAGTACTAAGGTTTCTCTTGTTGATGTTGATTGAGCATCAACAACAAATCATAAACAAACCATTTGACTTCAAAAGCAACAACTCTCAAATCCTCAATAACTTGGTATATACATCCTGTACATCACTTGTGTCATGGGTGATAAGGCATGACACAACCTGTGAAAGGCAGGGGTGGTGGGCATACCAGGATCCAACAAAAAATCATATGAATTCATTTTGTTGTAATTAAACCTAGGTAGTTCACATATTTCTGTTGTTCCTGCTATCCCTGCCAAGACACCATCTACTCAACAACTCTCTCCCTCAGACAGAATATAAATTAATCATATGAAAGTACAATAAAATTTCCCAATGTCATTTGACTGTTTCTAAGATCTTGTACTTGGTTGTCTTTTCTATGTGTCTCATGGCAAACCTGATTACAGGCTGAAGTCCATAAGGTCTTGGTTGAGATCTGAAATTAAGGTTCATTATTACAAAAAAAGCCTTCTGAGACACCTCACCAAATTTTGGTACAATCATAATCAGAGATTCAATACTGAGGTTATGATTGTGTTTCATTGATGATGTTGTAGTTTTTAGCAGAGTATTGGTTTGTAGCAGTGTTTTACAGCAAGCCCTTGATGGTAATATGAATTAGTAGACCAATGTTTGAATTACCAAGACTTTCTTCCTGCATCCCATCCTCATAAATATTATTCATTCAAAGCCAACCCTTGAAATCTTACTTGCCTTCAGTAGCATACAGGCAGATCATGCCAAAGAAAAAGTTCACATGCTATCTTTCTTCATTGATGTTAATAACCTTCCTCATGACAATATGGATGCCACCAACACATCAAAGCCTGAAGAATTGGACAAAGGATACAGCCCACAATGGCCCAGTGACAGAATATGAAGATTTTTGGTCATTGTTGGATCCCATTCTCAGCCCAATACTACCAGGGATCTCTGATACTGGGTCTCTAGATCCCAAGCTGCCTTTCAAGGATACTTACCCAAGGCTTGACATTGGAAAACACAAGGAAACTGTCACGGAATTTCACAACATACACTCTGTTGAACACCCCCAACAAGACTTGGAACTCCCTGTTGAAGACATTCCACAGCAAGAAGTTGAGACTATAGGTCTTTCTGGGGACACAGACAGTCCCATCATCTCAATCCCAGATTTCATTTCGCACAGACCAAATGAAATGCGTGCATCTATTTCCAGAACTGTTTCAAATCACATCCAGCTCCTGATTATAAGCCATCTGCAGAACCAACTTGGACCATCAGAAATTAGGGAAGCAAAAAAGATTTGGAGTGATAAAATACTTCTACCTTTTGTTTATTTTGTGATTTCTCATGATCCAGATTCTGATATTTCAAAAAGGGCAATAAGACTGGCTGCCATTGCTTTTGTAGCTTATCATCAAAAGTTTCTGAGACAGAATATGGAAATTGACTATGATCATCTTGCTAGATATTTAGCTTGGACTACAGATATTTTTCATCAAATCACAAGTCTAAAATTAAAGTTTGAATCATCAAGGAAAGAAAAAAGGATTCTGGGTTGTACAATCAATTTACACCCAGTGGCCAGAGCAATCCTGGTAGTACATGGTAAGAGGATCAATGAAAAAATATTCTCCGCAAAGCATCAAAACTCTTTAAATTTTAGCAAGAAATTTATCATACAATGGGAGAAAGACATGGATGAAGAAGAATCACAAATCCATATGAATTCAGTAGGTAATCTCTGGAAAGACTGGAACAATAAAGCTGAAGAGATTATCTTACATTCCAAGAATGATGAAGGAGAACCAACTGAATTGACAACTAATCCAAGTCTTCAAAATTTCAAAAAACCCTCTAAACCAGCAAAGATTTCAAAAAAAGAAACAAATACCCAACATAAACTCACTGAATCAATCTACAAATTGAGCCTTGGATTTTCACATTTGATGAATGAATTCATACAAGAACACTCATCAATATGGGATGTAAGAAAAGAAGATTCAACTTGTAAGATCCTTTATACATTTCTCAATCAAAGGAAAGGCAACAAAGATTCAAAGGTTTTTTGGAATCACCTTTTGGCGAGTCGGAAGAAAAAAAGAAAAGTCAGTGAAAAACGTAAGGTCTATAGACACAAAGAAAAGCAAAAGAAATGGTTGAATGAATATACAGATTAGATGCTAGGATTAGTAATTTGTTCAATTTCTGAACTGGGTCTTGATCAGGCTTTTTTTAAAAAGTTAATGCCAGCATGCAAGGTTATGACTTAACTTCTTCACTTGGCATTTATTTTTATTTTTCTTACTTATTCCTTTTGTCTTGTTGCTCTTATACCTGTTTCTCCTCTCAACTCTGTTTTTTCTTGAAATATATTTTTCTTTCTCTACACTTGTTTTTTTTCTTTTTCCTACAACCTTAGATCAATTTTCTCAAACCCTTTTTGAAATGTGTTTTTTTCCTCCACTCATTTGTTCTCCTCTTGCCGAAACCTTAAATCAAATTTCTTTCAAAAAATCCCAGACACCCTTTGTGCAGACCACTCTGGCCACTTGGCCTGTCCTGATCTTGCTCAAGCACTGTGGTACATTGTGGTATTCCACAAGTCAGGTAGCCTACCATAGCAGCATTCACAATATTGCATTGTGATTGCTATTCTATTGCTCCATGTTATGAAAAGTTGAGGTTATAGTGGTGCATAGCAGAACAGGTCAGATATCAATACCAAAAAGAAAGATTCACTCGTAGTAATATTCTTAGTGTCTAGAACAGGTTGTGAAAAATCAGGCACACAAAACTGGTGATCTCATCATTTATGATGACTTAAAGTTATAGTTTTTCCAAAAACCAGTCTTCTATTCTTCTAAACTGATCTTCCTGGTAAACATCACATCACTTCAAATCTGTAAAGATTTTATTCTTTTATTCTTTTATAGAGTTCTTTCAAATGATTCCCCCCTTTTCATCTCCAATCTTGTACCATGTTTCCTAAACCAAAACTTACAACTTTAAGGAATTTCAAACAAAACTTCTTTCTGTAAATCTGTAAAACAAAAACACTCTAAAAAACCCCATGTTACTACTTAATAAATTCTAACCAGTAATATAACCTTTTTTTTTTACTTTTTTCAATTACAATCTTTGAAAAACCAACCTCAATTTTTTTTATTTCCTTGACACTTTTTTGATATCTTGAAAATGAATATATATCATCACAACTTTCAAAGGATCACCATGATCCTTTGAAAAAACTGCGTCACATGTTCTATTTTTTTAGATTTTTTGCACACCTCAACTTCACCTACAACTAAACCAAACCAACCAAAAAAGTAATCATAAAAACCATTTCCCTAGTTTCAAACAAGCATACTTTCCGTAAACCTTACACAGATCTCAGCTTAAACTCCATGTACCAAATCTCTATAAAATTCTCTATACAGTAACCATTCATAAAAACTGTAAACTTGAACCTCTACAATTCCAGCTAATTACTTGATCAAACAATATATATATGTATGTATGTATCAACACTTTTTTTGATTTTTCTTCCATTTTCCCAACCGATTTTTCCTCAAAAACCCCATATTTTGCAAAAAGAAAAACTCTTTAAGAATCCCTAAATAGAATAGAAAAAAAAACTAAGATACATAGAAACAAACAAGGAAGAGAAAAAAAAATATTTAATTCGTGCATATGAACAACAACAACAAAAGAATAATAATAAGAGCCTATGTACGAGAGAGAAAGAGAGAAAGAGAGAAAAAATGAGACTATGTTGATCATGAAGTTTATGTTTCATTATGATCTGAACAACTTAAAGCAGGAGATGGAGAAGGTGATGGAGATGGAGAAGGTGCAGGTGATGGAGATAGAGATGGTGATGGAGAAAGAGAAAGAGAAGGAGATGTAGACGGATGATGAGGAGAAGGTACAGAAGAAAGAGCAGGATTAAGAGGATAAGAAGCCGGAGAAAGCAGAGGAGAAGCAGCAGCAGAAGGATGACGAGGAGAAAGTAAAGGATTCAAATTCGAAGTAGAAGTAGAAGTCAAGAACTGAAATCCAAGTCCTTGAACAGGATTAGGTGATCCCAAGGTCGAGGAAGAAGAAGAAGATGTTGATGGTTGTTCATTCATCTTTTCTAATACTCTTGATGATCTCCTAGCCACAATCGTTCGATTACTAGAAGGCAAACTACGATCTCCTTTGACTGCTTCATTCAATGTTCCATTCTCATAATCAACCAAAGGTGAAGAAGAAGAAGGTGATGAACCTAAACCCGTTTTTTTATGTTTAGATGGTGGTGGGGTTAAGAGTGATAAAGCAGGTGATTTCTCTCCCAAGTTTCCAATTTGATGATGATGATGAGGATGATGACTGTTTCCTCCTTTCGAATTCTCATCTGTCACTAAAACAGATGTCACTTCAACCGAAGGAGAAGCACAAGAGATCAAATGTGGTGATCTCATCTTCAAATTAAGTCCAACCGAATTCGCACTCAAACTTGGCCTTTGAAGATCCCTCTCTAAAGTTCTTTGATCTGTTCCTAAACTAGAACTACTTCCAATCGATTGAGATCCAACTGCTGAAGTAGGATCCATTGAAGCAACAGACGATCTCCTCCTTATCTTTCTTCTACCAATCAACACCTCTGGAACTTCCATCTTCTCTTCAATCTTAAACTCTTCTAATCCATCACCATTTCCTTCACCAGCACTACTACCACATTCAGTAGTCCAATCCATATGACTACTCATACTTCGATTCTCTGATCCACCATCTTCACTCTCCGATCCTGAAACCATAAGTCTCTTGGATTGATTCTCATTCGGTAAGAACCGTGAAGGTGGTAGTTTTTTCATAGTAGTAATAGGCGAGGTGACTCTTCGATACATCGGTTCAGCCGCCAAACGTGATTTAGTTGGCATCACACCTTGTTTGACCGCTAAGAATGATCGTCGTGAGTGTTCGGTTTTCCGGTTGATCCGATGGACTTCGAAAGTTTATGTTGGTGATCTGCTCATCCAGCTGCACTTGCCGTCTGCGGTCTTCCTGGACTTTTGCTTTT